GTACGGAACCGACCCGACCCGAACCCGATTGGTTCCATAATTATATTTGGACCCGACGGGTCCATTTTTTAAATACCCGAAAGTTTTGGGTCGGTTCGGGTCTCTTCAGAACCGAACCGAACCGACCCACGGACAGCCCTTTTGCTATAGTCATTCCTTGAATCTCTTATTGAACCATGGAAGGAGTGACGCGCGCGTATATGGTAAAAGTGACCAAGGAAGGAACCTTCTTAATTTATCTTTGACATATGTGGTATTTGTGTATTCTCCATCAAAATCACGCCATATAAATCTATACAAGAATAGAAACTAAAAACAGTAAGTTCCTAAATTGCACCTGGGGTCCCTCAACTATGGGTCAATGTGCAATATGGTCCCTAAACTATGAGAAGTCATCATTTGGTCTCCTAACTTTTAACATCTTACAGTAAGGTCCCAAATTCAAGATGAACCACTATTAGGACTTTTCGGGGTATTATACATTTAGTCTTATAATTCAGATAGATTTTTTTTTTGTGCCATCAACACGAAAAACTCCGACGTGTACACTTCCACCTAACATTGCCCTTGGTGCAAATTCTGTAGGCGTCAGTACATCGTTTGCTTACAGCTATATGCAAGAAGGCTGCATGCTTGTGTTTCTTTAAATTCTTCCATGATGCAACCTGTAGCTTCCCCAATCTGATCCACACAGCCTTCTCTTGCTCCACCAGGCTGCTGCTTGGCCTTGAAAGTGGGTGGTGACAAGGGACACACGTCAGCAATCTGGAACCTCCACGAAATCCATTATATCCTCAACCATAACGATCCAATCCAAGAATTCTTCGGGTTCATGTCCGCCATAAAATACAGGAATGTCCACCTTGAAACATGATTTCCACCCTGCCTCTGTCATCTCCGGCCGCTCGATTGTCTGGCAGAATTGGATAAAGAAAGTGCGAAGGGATTTTTCTCCACTCCCATTGCACAACCCTCTGCCATGATTTCTCTTTCACTGGTGTTGCTTGCTGCATAGCAGCAAATTCTGCTGTCAAAGCTGCGACTTGGCAGCGTAAAGCCCAGTTCCCATCGCGTAGCAATACTTCTTCCATTGGAATCTCAGGAGCGTTGTTTCTCCTAGTTGGCATCTGGTCAGGAGCGTTATGAAGTTGTAACATTTACGAAGTTTTCCCCGGGTTTACTAAAGTTCCCTAAGTTCCCCTTTGAATTTTCTCAAAGAGTTTCTGAATCT